AATATATTGCTTTGCTTTCAATGATGTCTTCTATTTGAATAGTTCAAGAGATGAAATAGCGGGACAGGAAGCGGAATATTCGACATTTGTTCACGATGTGCAATTTTGGCTATTTATTGATTCTTAGATAACCCGAGAGTTCTCCAAGATTTTTTCCTCATTATTATTGTATTGAAGAAGCTGTTAACATTTTGCAATTTCTCTTCCTAAATCTCTTTCTTTAGCAACAAATATGTGACTTTTCAGGTTTGCAATAGCAATTTACTGGCTTTGTGTCTTACTTTCGAAGGGAATGGATTTACGTTTTGGTGGAGATGAAATGTCAGAAGTGTTTTCCCCTGGAGATGATCCGAATAAGGTATAATATTAAAACTAAAATAAACACTTGTAATGTTCTTGGTAATATGTTATTAGCATGTCGTTTAGTGTAATTTGATGTTAAAATATAATGAGATAAATCAGAGTTTCTGTTTTCGTGACACTTTCTCAATATGATGTCATCTGGATGGTAAAAGGATGTCAACAATATACAGACCTATCTAATCCTCTTTAAGGACTGTATTTGTGAGCTATTCTTTGCAGGAAATAATAAGATTCCATCGGTTACAATACAATGATCCCATCGTGATACGCATGGAGAATGCTAAGTATGTTTATTCTGAATCGAATAAGAATCAGACCGTGTGAGTATTCGAAAATGAACTATTATTATATGAGATGAGGCGCTTTTTCAAATGTTTATTGGAAATCCGACTTTATGAAGCACCCTTCGAACCTATTCCTTTTTCTAGGTTACGTTCCATTTTCTGGGTGCACGAGATGAAATTATTCAGTTTCTACTTTTCCCTGACACTGGTGAAGTAAGCTTTCATAATTTATAACAATTAACTGGACTTGCCAGAAACTTCCTGGCATCAGAAGTCGAATTTACATAATCCGAGTTTTTTCTGTCGTCGTCTGAGGAGTTTGCTAGCATGAATAATCGTATGAGGCATAAATAATTTTTCAAGTTGTTACCTCAATTTGCTTATGTCTTTCAACTAAATTATTTAATCGTTTTCAGGCTAAACTAAATTCCACGTATCATAAAACTGATTCTGTCGATATTGGTTAGTGGTTTCCTAAACATGCCAGGGATTCCTAAACATGAGTTTTTACTGTTATTCTCAAGTGTTGGTACAATGGTATGTATTGTTTTGGATTGTAATTAGTCGCCCGATACCTTTCTGATTAATTTTGATTCACCTGTTTGTGTTCATCGATTGGAAATACTTTTCCAGGTATTCTTTAGAGAATACCTGATATTACCATGTTCAAGCATAGAACAATAGGCATGGGAAAGTTGATAACAATGGTGGAAGTACGACCCGAAACATCTGTATGTATTGAGTATTAAACCTTTCCTCTGTTAAAATATTTCACACTGTTGATTATTATTTATTCATTTATTTTCCATTTTATTATTTCTTGATTTCGAAGGATTTTTCAGCGAATTCCTAGCAGTTGGCATCTTTTAAAGCTGATTCCAATAAATCACAAAATCATTACCGAATATTACTCAAGTAAGGAGAGCATAATAACATTGTGAACCACAAAGTGGGCTAAGCATTTTCTTTCCTTTTTTGAGTTTCATGAAAACCAAAAATCTGATTTACGAACATTATCCGTGAATTTGAATAGTATTGTCAAATTTACCATACGTACTGAAATGTTTGACTTTTCGATTAGACGACAAAAATGAAAATTGCATCCCTTTTTCACGATCCGAAAAAATACTGTGGTCACATATGGCTCGAATTGAAATTGGGATATTCCCACACCGATATAAGGTTTTAATTTTATTGAAATCAATTAGCATGAAATATCCTGGATGGTTTAAAAGACATGCTGACAATGCCAAGAATGATCTAACATTTATAAAATAAGCGAAATAATTGATGGAAGTATTTAGCAAAATCATTCATTTCTGAGTTGATGAAAGGAATGAGTGAAAATAATAATGAATAATTTAATTCAAATCTTTCAGATCTCTCATTCATTTGATTATTTATGTATATTTCATTCTTAGATTGTTATGGAGGGTATAAAAGGAGCATATTAGGATATACCTATTGATGAATGCACAATTTGTGGTCACCACTTATCTCCTTACGACATTCAACAAACTATTTTTGATTCAACAAATAAAAGTGACGTATTTCACGCTCAACCGGCGTGAGCCTCTATATTGTTTATGTTTGAGATATTTTTGTGAACTTTTCTCTTTTATTCAGGCAATATGTTTCAATGTATAAATTTTCATTTCAAATTTTCTGATTTGAATGAGTAATTAATTAAAAGGAAGTATTACAACAAAACTAGTGTTATATCGATGGTTAAGTTAAGTCCAATACTTAAGTTAAGTCTTAAGTTATACTTAAGTTAAGGTTAAGTTAAGTCCAAACTTTTAACAATTTTGAACTATCAAAATTCGTTCTTACATTGTAAGGAATTTGACGAAAATGATAAAAGGAAAGGAATAAAATTTACATAACATAACATACAAATAGTGGTAACACCGTTATTGCATCACAGGAGGGGAGAGGGAGGAAATAATAGAAAAAAAAACCGAAGTTAGGAAATCTTAATTTATTTGTAAAGTTCATCCCAATCAGTTCAAGTGACAGGACTATAACTAAAAGTAAAGAGATCAGGACAGTAATTAATAAAAGTGTATGATCATAGTAACTATTAATACCAGCATTTCGAATGTATACAGTAGTGATAAAATATACGACAATTGGTAACCTTTTCTTTTATTAGCATTTTATAAGCACATAGCAGTTGTGAACTATTACGATTAACAGCTTGAAACTATGTAGTAGTAGAAATTTTATAGCATTAAGGAACATTTAACGCTTTTTGAAAATTCGTTTGAGAATGCTTTATAGTGCACAAAGAGATTTCAAATTCCAATACAATGTTTTTGCTTTTGGAATTTATAAATTTGACTTTGAGAAAAAAAACACAAAATATTTTGGAATGGTGAAATGTTATGAAGAAAGATATCAAAAAGAATTGAAAATTTTGTCAAGCGAGCCATAACTAATGGAAAAAAGCTAGTATGAAATGAGTAATTGAACCAGTACTGATGCTTCAAAATTTGCATAACAAAGGAAAAAGTCAGGAGTGGTAAATATTTTTTTTATAAGATTAAAGCCTTACTAAACGAGAATTCTTGGCGGCTTGAATAGTTTTTTATTCAATATATATTGCGAATCTTTTTTATTAAAATTAATTATCAGGAAGTCTTTATATCAGAAGCAATAAAACATTGGTCTTGTTTTGATTAAAGGAAGGAATGTTAACAATTTAAAAAAAAAAAATTTTAAAAATTAACTTAGTAGT